GACCAAATCATGCAGACGAGTATCAAAGGTTCACAAATAATAAATTGCTCAAAAATAGCCAAATGTACCTGAAATTCAAATATTGGAGAAACATTCATTATTTCCCCACCATATATTCAATAAGCTCAACATTTACCTTTCACATCAGTCACTGAAAAGGGATGGTCACATTTTTAACATATAAATGAAATGCATAGTTAACGTACAATTAAGCCAAATATAAAAATATTCAAAACTGGATTACTAAATCATCATTATATCACATTTTAATCAATGTATAGTTTAATCCAATAAAAATTCTCCAATTTCCTCTATGAATGTTTTTAATCCTAACCACACAAATCCCACTTTGACATCTAATTGGGTAAACTCTCAGCAAGTATTTGTAGCATCAAAGGTCAGAATCCTTCAAATAAAATAAAGTCATAATTAAAATGTATTAAATAATTTTTAAAACATTTTTCCCAAATTAGTAAAATTTTAACCAGGTATATACTTATAAAAATCACAAACTATTTTGCCTCAGTTCTCAAAGGATTTGAAATGAAAGCTCCTTGTATTTTTAAGCTGGATTGCCATATGCAAAGCCCGATAAGAAACTCAAGAGGGTGACAGTCCTCAGGATTTTGACAAAGCGATAGAGATTCTCCTGGGCACGCCAACAGTTTTCCTCTGCAAACAATAACTTCCTTCCACCTAAAAATTATTGTACCTCTGCTTCTATTCAGAGGCTATCAGCTATTCTAATCCATGTTTCTCAGAGAACAGGGAAGACCCATTTTATGGGGTGCTTTCTTATTCTATTATATGGGAGAGAGAGTAAGGGCTTGTCTACACTATTGCTTAAGTTGATGTAACTTATGTCAGTCAGGTATGTGTAAAAACCATCCCCTGAGCGACGTAAGTCACATCAACTTACAGAGGTGTCTCAGCTTCTGCCTCTCGTTCAGGTGGAGTAATTATGCCGACAGGAGAGTGCTTCACCAGACCCGCTACGGCAGCAAAGCTGCACCAATGCAGCTGCACCGATGTAGTGCAGTAGTACAGACTAGACGTAAGTAGATTTTTCCTTTCAAATTTTCATTAGGAAGTCCTCTAAGAATAAAGTGATCATGCTCTTGAATCCCACAGAAAACAATTAAACTAAAATGATTTAATGTTAATCTAATGTCTGGTTGATTACGAAGCTTTTAATCTTTGAAGACTTCCTTCATTTTTTAAGACATTTATTGATTTTTCTTAGAGACAAACAATATAATGTACAAAATTCTACAACGATCACTGACAATTTTACAGCTGGATTCAATTTAGATAAGCACACATTCTGTTCACAGCATAGAAGTATTTCAGTTGCAATAGTGAATAATTAAATTATTGTATAGCAGCAACAAAACCAGAAAACCAAGATTCTACTACAAAAGGAAGGGCTAGAGAATCGAATGAGAGAAATAATTTTGTTCACACAAGCAGCCACTACTCTTGGAAGACAAAGGAACTGAAACAATTACAACATTTGCTTTAGAAAGACAGGGAGTTCTTAAGAGATTTAAATTGTGGTGGATGTATCCTCCCTCCCCCGAAAAAAGTCACCACTGAAGTATTAAGCTGCATAAAACATGAAATCAGACAGCACTGCAGAAACAAAATGACAACATTTAGTCATAGGTTAAGAGTGCGATTTATTTATTTTTTGTTTGTTTTTAGTGGGATGAGGAAGTGAGTAAACGTTTAAGGATTTGGGAAAGGAAAAAAAGAAAAAGAAAGAAGAAAGAAGGGATAGGCCTTCAGAGCACATCTAAATGTTTTTTTTTCATAATTTGAGATTTTCACCCTTCCTGGTGGCATTAACTAATGTTCACCCAACCTCTTACAGCTCTAATCCTCAGTAACATTTAATCTTAAAATTGTTTAACTGACAAGTTACTCCTGGAAAATCTGTTTTCCAGTGCTTTAAACAAGTGGCCCTCACATACAAGCTAGTCACGGCCTCCAGCAACACATAGGAGGGAGTAATGACTGGATTTTTACACTGAAGATGAGAGGCCTTATGCACAAATTATTTACCATCAATACCTATGAATTTTAAGTAAGGGTGATTTCAACTTCAGTGCTTCCCTACTTCTCATGCAACATTTCTTTTAAAGTTTGTGATCCTCTTAACATGAATAACTGTATTGCTCATACATTGTTTAATTTTCATGTAGGCAGCCTCAAGATATTACTACCTGAGGAGAGTCTACACCCCAATATACCCAAAGAACATTTTCTGTCACTTTGGTCTAGGACTGTTTTTGGTAGGGTGGAACAAGAGGAGAAAACATGATGTGGGTTTTAATAAGTTTTTTTCTTTCTTTCTTTAAGGGTGCCAATGCTCACTCAGAGGATGACCAACAGCAGAGGACCAGATTAATGGTTTAAGTCTAATAACAGCTACATGGAGATTGGCATCACCTACCATTACAGAGCACCTCACCAGGTTTTCATTTTGCTCAAAGCTTGCATGACAGCCAGGTCTGTCCAAGAATTAATCACCCACTGTACACTGGATGGTTCATAGTGAGATGACAGGCATTCAGTCACTACAGTGATTTCAGACAAAGTTTGTTCTTAAGACTTTGAACTTTCTTGCCTTTATGAATTGGTTACCTTAGACTCCTATGGCACTTTGTGTGTAGTGGTAGATTTACCTTCACCCTACCATTGTGCAACAGTTTCATGTTAACCACCAGTTCTGAGATGGGTGCATTTCACTGATGCTATACATATACAGACGGTTTAGATATTTAAAGACAAAAAGTGACATTGTGAGTGTACACACACACAAATAAATAAAATAGCATGCTTTCTTTGTCCTTTGCAAGATTACCCAGCCATACACCTAAGATATGGAGGCATATTTATTGCTACACACAAACGAATACCCTCTCATCAGGTTCCAATCTTTTGCAGGAATTTGATCTTCTAAAAGTCACATCCTAACCAATTTAGAGCCTCTTCATTTCAGAGTAGGATATAAACTCTAGGTAAACATTCAGTGCTTACATAGGATGATAAAGGAACTATGAAATAGGCAGTCTATATTACTCCTGAAAACCTGCCTGGATGGTAAATTCCAACACTAGACTTTATCTCACATATTCACTGTACCATGGGCAGCTCAGATGCCTTCCTTTACAGGGCAATAGCATTGATTGTTTGGATTTGCAACTACAGCTATCATTCGCTGGGCTGGATTTGGAGCCAGCAGCTAGGTAGCATAACTCCGGGCTTAGGGCCCATGGTGTTCCAGAGCCATTTGGAAATATGCATGAGTGGGGCCCGACCAAATTCATGGTGCATTTTGGTCAATTTCAGAGTCAGAGGATTTTAAAATATCATAAATTTCATGATTTCAGCTATTTAAATCTGAAATTTCATGGTATTGTAACTGTAGCGGTCGTGACCCAAAAGGGGGCAGTGGCAGGGATCACAAGCTTTTTGTAGCTCGGAAGGCAGCGCCACCACCAGCAGCAGCGCAGAAGTAAGGATGGCAATGGTATGGTATTGCTACCCTTACTGCTGGGCTGCTGCCGCCTTCAGAACTGGGCCCTCGGCCAGCAGCCACCACTCTCCGACCTCTGAAGGCAGTGCAGAAGTAGGGTGGCAAGCCGACCTCCCCTACAATAACCTCGCAACCCCCCTGCAACCTCTCTTTGAGTCGGGATCCCCAGTTTGAGAAACACTGGTTTCCCCTGTGAAATCTGTATAGTATAGGGTAAAAGTACACACAAAATCACATTTCATGGTCCATGACACATTTTTCACGGCAGGGAATTTGATAGGGCCCTATGTATGGGGCATAGGATTTGAACTAACTGCAGTGATCATTAACAGACTGGATGAACCAAGGGACCAAGCATTTGTAAAGCTAACAATTTAACAAGCAGGACGAAGGTGAGCTTGCTTGTACAGCTGAAGCAGGATTGGAGCAAATTCTGAAAGTTGTTCCCCATACATATGATGGACTGCCAATACACACAGGCTTATTTTTGAAGTCTCTCTTCCCCACTCCTCTTCCATTCATGAAATGAAGATTGCATCCTATTTCTTCCCAACCAAAACTTCATATCTCTGTTCCCAGTCTCAATGTGCCAAAGGCAAAAGGGAAATTAAACAAAATTTTGTACTTGTTATTGTTTCTGTCAAGAAAATTTAAAATTAAAATAAATTTAAGTTTCCCGAGGAGGGGGCAAATCTTTAACAGTATTTTTAATTATTGTGTTTCTAATATTTTAGGAAGCTCTAAGTGTAGCTTTAAACTAAGATTTTCCCCACAATACACGTACAGGTTTTCTATTAGCATTAACAGAAATACGTGGGTGCAAGGAATGAAGATTTTACCCTGTAATCTTTAAGGACAGATTTTTGATGGGAGGGTTTATGCTATGTTAAATATATTTTTAAAAATACATTATTTAATTTGTATGAAGAGGCATATTAATCTTGAGAGCAATTATTCAACTGACATTAAAAGGAGAACAATTTGTTTGAAATTAACAGCTAATTAAAAAAAGGATTTGTAAGTCAAAAAGCCATTGTCTCAACCAACAAAAACGGGTAACAAGTCTGAAACAGTATCTTTTTCACATGCAAGTGACTTCTTCCATAATGAATGAAAAATTAATTAAGGTAAGAAAAACAATGTTTTAAAATTATTTGTTCAATGGAGAAAACACAGAGCAAGTGTGTAGGCTGAACCTGCACAACAAAGTTGTAAATGAAACAAACCGCAAGACTATAGCCAGATCCACAAACAAAAAGCAAACTGAAACAAAACCAGAATTTTCAATGTCATCTCTTTTTGGATGATTAATCTTTGATTCCAGCTGGCAATAAAGAGGTCTTGATCTGAAGGGAGCTTTAACCCCCACATACGTCACTTACTATGTCAAAACAATCACTGTCCATTCTACCTGATCACACCCAAAAGCAGCAGTCTTTTCCTGGATTCATTTCTTGATAACAAGCTGTTCAAACAGAGAGCACCTATCAAACCTAATATTATAATCTGCTGCTTTTTTTCTTCTAGTATACACTGCTGTCCATCAGAAGAAATAATTAATAGGTTTATTATGTATGAAAGCATCATCCTGTCAGTTCAGTGCCAGGTTTGCATAGCTCATATCAGCTACTCATTGATGCCATGCATGCTCACTGTCCCAAGATATGACAAAACACTACACCCTTTGGGATTTTTTTTTCTCCTGTTCAAAAACAGCGTTTCACATCTGTGTCTGACAGAAGCATTAGAAGCAGAGAGGAGCAGACCCGTCATCATCCCTTACGAATATGAGGCTGAAGCATGGGTGAAAAGTTAAGACAAAACCTGAAGTCCACTGATCTTGCATTATAGTTTTTCAAAGCAACATACAATGTGGAAGCTACTGAATTTATAGGAAAACAAGAACTTTTCACTGTTGGAATCATCTACAGAAAACAGATGGGATTTACTGGTTGCTAAAGCTTTTACTCAGTTTTTAATAAGTACTGAACACTTGAGTTATCTGAGGTATGTTCATCTGCCTCTATTGTTTGAAGAGATGTGAAGTTCAGAGCTCCCTTTCTGGAACCGTGAAAGAACAGAATAACCTAAAATGGTGCATATAGAATCCAATCAAGTATTCAGGATGCCTGAGAATCAATTAGAAACAACCACTACCACAAAAGAAAGCAGCAGCAACGAATAAAAATGCTGTGGAGAAAGAAATCACAAGCCACAGGAGAAAAATGCACTTAAATAGAAAAGCTTCCTACCTGATGAGCGTCTTTCCATATATTCAGACACAGCACAGATAAATGAGCTTCGATCAATAAGATTCAATCAAATATCTCCAGGTAAGTTTTTATTTCATATACTACTGTACACCTTTGCTCACAATAATATTACCACGATTTTAAAGACAATAAATCAGTGATTTTCAGTTAAGTGTAACCTTTACACTGATAAGTTCAAACCTTCCCAGGTAAATATTTTGTCCTGTTAAATTTCCTGCACTGTACAAATACCTGATCTCTTTTGCATAATTATTTTTTCCAAATAATCTTATTAATGTCCTTCTCTGGGTTTGACCTGGAATTGTTTACTAAGATTTAAATCCTTCACATTGTTTGCATTTAATAGTTAGGAAAATATACGCAAAGAACACATTCATAAGCCATGCTTCTGTTACTATTTGCAAAATAGATTTTCTGTACTTCATTATCTAAGTCAATCTACTAAAGCAAAGAGCATTTTACACAATGGCAGTATCAAATTTGAAAGGATATATTTTATTAGAGGAAAATAAATCCCCATTTACAAAAATAGGAGCTCAACTAAATCTGGTAGTGTCAATTACAGCCATTTATAAAAGGCAAACTACAGTACAATGAGATAATAGCACAGTGTTAATAAACCATAAAGATAAAATGTATATATTTTCAATACAATGATTGAACATAAGGGGCTCAACAGAACTACAAAAAGAACATCTTGTATCTAAATTGTTTTAACTCAGATCACAACTGTACAAGCCAAAGGGTGTGGGTAGCCAGAGCACACAGTCCAAATTGTCATTGGTCCTACATAAAAATATCCTGTGAATCACTTCACAGTGAGATTCTAACATCTGACAGGGCTTGAAAAATAAAATATACCCAACATCTACTAGTCCAAAAACTAAGCTTACTAGTCCTGATGAAGGTGCTGCCACACCCACAAAGTCACACCCCCTGAAAATAAAAAAAAATAAAACAGTTGTGCACTGTTTTATATACACTATATTTTACTCTAACATTTCAGAGTAGCAGCCGTGTTAGTCTGTAACAGCAAAAAGAACAGGAGTACTTGTGGCACCTTTGAGATAAATAAGATAGAGACTAACAAATCTATTTCTATCTTATTTATCTCAAAGGTGCCACAAGTACTCCTGTTCTTTTTGCTGTAACATTGCTTTTCATTTTTCTATTTAATATTTGTTTTAAAATGTACCTTACTATAGATCTCTTATTGTTATTCTACCCTCTGTTCCTCACTGGTTTCAGCACACTTTTCTTTCCTAGAAGAAAGGATGTCTCTTTTCTTGTATTGCTTTTAATATATGGTTCTTCCATTCCTTCTCTCCCCATTTGTATTTCTCTCTTCCTTTCCTCCATGGCCCCCAGAATATGTTGGCTCTCCTTTCTTCTTCCTGCTCTCTTTTTTCCTTACCTCTTTTCTATCTTATTCAAATAATTTCTCCCCTTTTTTTGCCTGTTCCTCTACCCATCAAACACAAAACAACCATCCATCCACCCACCCAATCATAGAAACTTCCACTCACATATATAAAAGGACTCGGAAATTCTACCAAACACCTAATCGCCAGAAGACTAAACCTACTAGCCAAAGACTAATACAATGAAGAGCCAAAAATATGTGGGTCCCCCCTATCCAGAGGCAACTGTCAAGTGAGAAGCCAACCCCGTTGGAATTCCTATCAGGGAGCTGAGCCTGAAGCCTGCTTGGGGGATTCATCTTTCATGTCACCCTTTAGCTAGCAGGTGTCTTATAAATTTGACGCTCCTCCCACTCTGTCTATTTGTTCTTTTACCCCCCACATCCCAGAGTCTCCTGGCTGCTACAGTGGGTGGAAATTTTCATTACTCTATCCCCTCTTCTAGTGTCCTGCCTGCTATGGCAGGCATGGAGAGGTTCAACAGAACCATACTGCTACTGTACTCCTCCCTCAGCCTTCTTGCTGCTGCTGGGGATATTGGCACTACTTTACCCCTCTCCCAGTTTCTGCCCTCTTCCCTAATGAATAGCTCCAGATGCTACTTCTGCTGCTTGGAAAAATTTTGAGCAATAGAAGAAGTGAAATTAACCTAATTGTTGGTTTTCACAGCACATATTCAGAATCCTGTGGCAGCAGTAACACTGATAAAGACTGCTGCAGCTTGATAAAACTCTGAGCAACAGCAGATGCAATGCAGCCTATTTGTCCACAGATTCTGGAAGACAGTGATGCATTGTTTACATTCGATTTACATTGGGAAGGTTATCTTTACAGTCACAAGGGCTAGAAACATTTTGTATTTAGGATGTTATTGTCCTGGTTGTTTTAAATGCAAGCTTTGATTCTGCAGAAGCTGATGGCTCTCACCCTGGAAAGTTTACTACGAAACGTGGGATGTAACAATTTTTAAGGCCTGCATATAGTACCCGTGTTTAAAAAGAAAAAAAATGGTAGCTGAGCAACCAAGCCCTCCTTGTAGGAAAGGAAGCCTACTTCTGAAAACACTTTAAAATAGTCAGTTTTAGATTTCTATGTAGCTTGCAAAATTCTATGCAAAACTTCCCCCTTTAGAGACCTTTGAATGCAGTCTTACATATCTAAGCTTCTTATGTTCTTTGACTTAGAAAATATGGAAAGAGTAAAAGCAGACTATAAAGTCAGATGTAATGTACCTGAATAAACCTATTTAAAGAACACAGACATTTCAGAAATTATTTATCCACGCAACCTAAAATAATTTTTATTTTAAATCACCAAACAGCAGTAATTTTTCATTTCATTGGATTATTCCTCTTTAAAATTTTAATTATGATACTGAATTGCTAAAGCCTCTTCCCATCTCCAGAGACACCAGAAATAAACTTGCATGTCATTCAACTAATCCATTTGAATTCTTAATGATCCACTATCAAGTTCCAGTATAAAAAGAGTAATGCAATGAGAAGCAGACACAACCTTCTTTTGAAAAAATATTGTAATTTGTTTTCTGAGTTACTGTGCAAGAGTATCTAAACTGAAAGCAATGCATTAACAATATAATAATACTTTGCACTTCTAGAATGCCCTTTATCCAAGAAGCACAAAACACTTTACAAACAAGTAGATCTCAAAATTTCCTTTGTAGTTAAGTATTATATCCATTTTAGACTGAGAGCAGCTAAGAGGCTGGCCCAAGGTCACTTAGTAAGCCAGTGGCAGAGGCACGAACAGAACCCAGAAGCATTGCCATCCAATCCTGTGTTCTAATTACTAGCCACACATTTGCATTTAACCTTGAATTATAGTCCAATATAGAGAGATTTTTCATACCTTATTATCCATCTCCCCCATGGCCGCTTTAGTACATCTCTTTCTATAAACAGAGTTATGGCGATGAGGTAACTGGTGCAGAGGCACTATGACGACAATTTGCACTCTAGATGTACAATGGCAGAAAAAGTACTAATAGAGTTGGCTGAAATCTGTAAAAAGTTTTTTGGGGTTTTTTTTTGCAAAACTGTGAACATCTTTTGTAGGGAATCATGCAAAACCTGAGGAGTGGGAACCCTTGCATATAAAGGTGCAAGACAGACAGGATCATCTTCCTAGAGACCCTATGGCACAGATGAATGAACAAAATCACAGAAGCCTAAAATCCTGAATTCTATTCTCACCTCTGCTACTTCTTTTATTGACTGAAACTGCACTTACATCACACTCTATAAGCATTATTTTTACCAGGCCTCACACCTATTACTATGAGGTAGAGAAATATTTTGCCAATCTAACAGATAGCCTCAGTTTCCCTATGAGAGGGTCAAACAGGAAATCACAGGCATAATCAGGATTAGAACCCCAGTTATTAAGAAGGTCACAATGACACCCTGCAAATCTCTTAATCTCTCTTTCAATCTCCCCATATGCAAAACCAGATAATAATCATACCTATCCACATACTTAGGGCCCTAACAAATTGACGGTACATTTTGGTCAATTTCACGGTCATAGGATTTTTAAGATCATAAATTTCATGATTTCAGATATTTAAATCTGAAATTTCACGGTGTTGTAACTGTAGGGGTCATGACCCAAAAGGGGTTGCAAGGTTTTTGTGGGGGGGGTCGTGGTATTGCCACCTTTACTTCTGCGCTGCTGCTGGCAGTGGCCTTACCTTCAGAGCTGGGTGGCAGGAGAGTGGCAGCTGCTGGCCAGGAGCCCAGCTCGGAAGGAAGCATGACTGGCAGCAGCAGCGCAGAAGTAAGGATGGCATGGTATGGTTTTGCTACCCTTACTTCTGTGCTGCTGCCTTCAGAGCTGGGCCCTTGGCCAGCAGCCACCACTCTCTGACCACTGACGGCAGTGCAGAAGTAAGGGTGGCAACAACATAACCTTGCAACAGTAACCTTGCAACCCCACTGCAACGCCTCTTAGAGACAGGACCCCCAGTTTGAGAAATGCTGGTTTCCCCTGTGAAATATATATAGCATAAGGTAAAAGTACACACAAGACCAGATTTCATGGTGGAGACCAAATTTCACAGTCCATGACGTGTTTTTCACGGCTGTGAATTTGGTAAGGCCCTACACATACTTGCCAGTGTACTCTTAAAACATTTTCATTTCTCTTTTGCCTCTGGCAAATATCATTACCACCATTTTACGAAGGAGTCACAAATGTTAAGTCATTGCTATAGGACACATTGTAGTCTAGTGGATTAGGCCTGAACTGGAAATCAGAAAACCTGGGTTATAATCCTAATTTCAAAACTGTCACTATGAGCAAGGCACTTACCCACTCTGAGCCCCCGTCTGTCAAATATGGAACAACGATACTTGCCTATTTCACAGGGAGATTGTTAGGCATAATTATTCTCCTTCCACAAGAATTTTACATCAAAATAACTCTAACTGCAACAGAAAGTCAGGAGGATCTTTCCATTTCAACAGTAACTCTGAAGGATGTTAAACAGCAATTACTAAAGTTAGACATTTTTAAATCAGCAGGTCCAGATGAAATAACTTCCACCCAAGATGTTTTAAAGAGCTGGCTCAGGAGGAATCCAGACCATTAATGTTTATTTTCAATAAATCTTGGAACACT